CGTGAGATATAGTTAGTAAATAATAAATGTGAAAGTGCATTTGTATCTTGCTTCTTAGCGCTTCAAAAGCTCAACTAGTTGGGATGAATTAATTCTGATTCCCATCAACTATAAGAAGTAGTGAGTATTTAAAAAAGAATTTCTCGAGTTCGAAAGAAAAAATTAAAACAAATCAATAGGCAATTATAGCAGTATATCAAGTTTCCTAAAAAAATATCGAATTTGAATCGTAAATATAAATAGCCGAAGTTCTTGCCAATTCCTCTCAACTTAATCTTCTAGCTGAACTCGTAAAATATTAGTATGCATAAGTATTAAAAAGTATATCTACTTAATAAATAATATTGACTCTTATTGTAAAACTAGATTTTTTTTTTACAACACTGGGGGCAAACGAGCATGCGGCTCACCTGATGGTAAGTGACTACCGCCGCCCATGGTCACCCACAACACCTACGGCATTGCAGGTGTGCTGCCGGCCTTTTAAAAAGGAATATGCTCTTTTCTTGAAGGTTATGTTGTCGTATCGGTTCGGAAATACTGCTGCTGGAAATTGATTCCAAAGAGTGGTTGTATATTCATATTTTGATATTTTCCTTTAAATTAAGAATTCACTTATATAATTTGAATCTGCAAAAGGCATATTAAATAACTTACTATTTCTAGAATTCATCTAAGGAGACCTTACGTTAAATTTATTTAATTATATCAGGCGGTCACTGTCCATTGCTGAATATAAGCCTTCCCCATAAAGAGAGTTTTGTTAGTAGTTGCCACACTTAGTAGACGTGTTGGCAACCACAGTTGGACTTTTAGTGATCTTATAAGAAGAATACTGCTGCCCATTCTTCAACCATTAAGTTGCCTTAATTGCTTCTTACGACACCTACAGGAAATTAAGAGGTGGCCTATTTTATGCTGGAACCACACGGCGAAAAGAAAAGGGCATTTAATAAGATTATTTATAATTTTAATTTAAAATATTTTATTATAATGCAAACATGTATAAAGCGGGGGGAAAGGGATTGTTAGTAATGGAGACTGAGAATCCCATTGCTAGCAATATACCCAACCAGGTCGACCTCCTCGCGGTTCTCCCTGGAAACTATCATGGTTAATTCTTGATGAATTCATCATGATGGGCTAACTGGCCTGTTTTCATTCTCATCTATCACCCTTCACTGGTGCTCCGCAAGCGTATATCGTTAGCGCAGGCAGGGTTATCATACCATTTTCAGCCATCAAAAAAAACATATATAGAGCCGTATGTTTATATGTATCACGTACTTAATATTAAATCATGTGATTTATCTGCAAATAGCCGATATACTGTAAAACGGATATTGATCAACTTGTGTGGCAGTTTGTACGCATCTCGCAATCTCTACTCTCGCAATAGTCACAAAATGACCGCAAATTATCATAAACGTAACTAGTAGGGTGTGAGATAATCTATACATAGGTAGGTAGGTATGTTTTGTGCATTTAGATACATAGATAAATATGTAGATACTGATATTTAGCTATTTATAATGTTAGTAGATATTAAAATACTAGTAAAAAAATATTTTCTTGAAAGTGTTTAACTTTAGGTGTTATATTTATAATTTTAATACGTACCTAAAATTAATTGAAAATTAATAAATAAATTAGGTTTTATTTATTTTTTTAATTATATAACGCCCAAAGTATCTACATATTTGTATAATAAACATTTATATATGTATATCGTTAGAATGATTTTTTGAGCGTCGTCTTGAATACTTATTCGTAAAATTACTATCTTGTTAAAATACCAAGATCTAATGTGTCTGATCTACAAGACCAGACTTTGTACAAAGTCGTATACATGGGTACCTCTATCCCACTCATATACCTGTACCTTTTTGTTTAAGTTTCGGTTTGAAAGGCAGGTCGCAGTGAAATTACAGGATTAACGGAGGCATAACACATGAATGGCAACATATGATGGGTACAATGGACGTCAGAGTATTCTATGATATCAATGATTAATGTTTGTACACAACAATTATCATTTTTCATCACGTAGGTCATCAGTTTATTTGTCATTCTAAGTTAAATAAAAAAAAAACAATACCTCTATATCATATTGTCTTTACAAGGTGTACATAGGTAGGTATACATTTAAAAAGTATTGAAAATACCTAAAAAATATCAGACATAAACGTAATTTCCCAATAATCTATTTCCACGGTGACACAAGCAGGCGAGCCGTGACGGCGGTCGCAAGTGGTTGGTCACGCCAGCATCGGAAGTCATCCGCCATTGATATCATCTCATTGTGCTACGCAAATTGCAGCCGGATGTTGCCAGAGACGAGAGATGGATCTGTGTCCATTGTCCGAATCTTATGCCTTACCTTTTCAGTCGTTGGGCAGAAAAGGTAAGGTACAAGATTATGGAAGTAAGTTCAACTTTACGAAAAATAAAAAATGCCTTGATTATTACAAGTGCTTAAAATTTATTATTTATTAGTAAACTCCGTGTCAATCATACACAAATTGTAGCCGAATGTTGTCAAAGTCGAAAGATGAATCTGTATCCGTTACCAGAGCGTCGTACCTTACTTTTTCAGTCGTTGGACAGAAAGGGTAAGGTACAAAGTCCAATATTTCGAAATTTTGTAAAGTCTTAATTAATACAAGTACTTGTTGTAACTTATTCATTTCATTCCCTTATCAAGAAGAATCATGGCTCAGTAGTATAAATACCTAAATAAAAATATAAATAAATCTGTGCCTTGTGGTCCCAGCATAGAATAGAACATCCTTTCCTTTCTTGTGAGTGTAAGAGACGATGAAGGAAACTGAATGGTCGAAGGATGGACAGCTCCCTCTTTAGGTCCCTTTTAAAACATCACAAAGCCTAACTGCGGTTGCCCACTACTGACAAAATTTACCTTAATCTCCCTTGGGGGAGGCAATGTTCAATAATGGACAATTAATGGCTGATACAGTAAATAAATCCACTGACACAAGGTATCCAGTAATATTATTATAGAAATAAGAGAAATTGATTATCCGTATTAAGAAAATATTTCAACTAGGTAGATATAATTAGCGCAAAATTATTAAACAAAAAGAAAAATTTAAGACTAGAAAAGGTCTAAATTTTTTTTTTATATCCTTCATTATAACAAAACAGAAACTTCTATTAAGAAGAAGTAGTAGCGAACGACTACTTAAAAATAAATTCGAGTTTAGAACGAATCATATTTTTTTTGTCGCAGATCCCTTTTTCTCGTAATTATATTCCCTCAAGGCTTTAACTAAACCTTGTTTGTTTTACCTACATACACGTTTGTTATACATACACTATATAAATTCGGTTTTCAATAGAATCCAATATTTACTTAAATATTTTTTTCAGTCTACTAACCTTTTCCGCGAAATATGATAATTCTTTTAGTTAGAAATAAGTGCGTCATCGTCAAGAATATCTAAATATAAGTCAGCAATCATGACATTCTCTTGCTAGCAATAAACTCGTATGTAGGTATATTTAAACTATTTTTTTTTTCTAATTAGTGACAATGGATTGGTAATCTGGCCTGCGCTGTCGGTATATGTTGATATTTAACTTGTTAGGTCGACCTCCACGTGGCCCTATATAAAACTCTCGTGTTTTCCAAATTCCCAGCAATAAACTAAAATAATTGCTAACAATAAGAAGTAGGATATTACTATTACTAACATTACTAACAATGCTTAATCTTCTCGGTATGATTTATGTACCAAGTATTGCGCCCAGGGTCTGGCTATGTCAAATAAATGGGAAAAGGCAAACCAAAGATGAATACAATGCCAAATATTTAGCACTTTCGTATCGTATCACAATATGGACTCGCGCCCAAACAACGCGTGTCTCACAGAATTATTCCTGACTTTTTTAGCTTCATTGTACTCTATGAAAACGGAGTCACGCTCCAAAAGAAATTAATGTTTGTGGCCAGCCTTTGTCACGTGTGGTACCTACTGTTTATCTACAGTTTTTGATGACCAGTTGAGGTCAGATTACACGCATCAGATACCCATCTTTTTTCTCATTATACCTACAGCTCAATTTTATGAGTAAATATTCTATCTACTTATGTACTTCGAATTAAATTATACCTTGTTTTTTTGTACTTAGGTATAATAAGTAAAGTATTGATTGTAAAATTATTGTTTTTCTTTTTACAAAAATGTGTTTTTTTTTTATTTATAAATAAAAATCGGCTGTACCAGAATATTCCTAGATTTGACTCTATTGTATACTTGTAAACTTATAAGAGATAAAAATTTCTTATAAGTTTTTCTAAGTCAATAGTACACGAACACGAAAGTTATATAAGGCATAATAAAATAATGAAATAAGCTAAATATTATCATGAACCACCTAAATGAAAAAATAATTATCCAATTTTAGTACCTATTATTATTTTGAATAATACCTACTACCAATAATATAATAGGGCTACCAACATAATTTTTGTAGTAATAACCAGAAAGCTTGATCGAATTTATGACTAATCTGAGAAACGACGGAAAATAGTTTATCTTTAGCCCCAATCGCTTTCCTTGTCCTGCGCCGGTAATTTTATTGTTCGATTTTATTTTATCTTTGACCATTACGAGAAATATTCGAATCGAAACAATAATGCTTCATTGAATGTACACACTAATAAGAACTATTATAAAAACTTGAATTTTGAGGTAGATTGTTATCATAAAATCGATAGTCTAATCGTAATGTGTACGGAAATGTATATAGTGTACTCAGGGGTAATATAAATAATTATACTATAATACATCATTGTGACACCTATGGAAAATATCTACAGTTATTAGTTTATGGAAAGTTGCTAGTATTAAAGTTTTATATAACTCATTCATAAGACTCGTCGCGTCGTAACTTTATAAAGTCTTAGCACGAGCGCGCGCGACGCGTACTCGGCACGCCAAGAGCAGGTGTGATCGTGCTCCCCTCCTTTCTTACAGAGCGGGCGATGCGGCGCGAGTAGCGCGGTGGGGCCCTGCCCGCCGCCCGCACAGCCAATCGCGGCGCGCCTCGCCTATGATGTCATCGGAGGAGGAGGCCGACTCACACGCGCCCTACTCGGATAAACTGCTGAAGAAACAGAAACGTGCGAGACAGCGCGTGGACGCCGGTGAGCCGCGCAATTCTTATTCGACTCTCGCGACGAACGGACCCGCGCCCGCGCGCGTCGCACACATGAGCGGAGGACTTTACGGCGCCATCTTCGAGGGCCGCCAACACTTCGGCCTCTTTGGTCCGGGTTACCCGCCTGCGGAAATGTTAAACGAATTACTTGGACGGACGCCTATGCAAGATGATACCGGTGAAGAAGCGGCTGGTGCAGATTTAACACATCGTGTACTTCGGGACATTTTACAGAATCGCAAGAAAGAGTTATTGCGACTTTCTCCAGATAATAACAACGTGCTTGCAAATAATAATAATGACGAGCCAAAAGAGAAGCGATCTCCAGAGCGACCTGTTTCACGGGACTCCCGGCCGGATCTCGATGAGGCTCTTTTAGCATTGGACAGTGCTGGTGACTCGCGCACTTCGCCACCTCCAGCACCACCGCCGTCCGAACCTCTGATCGCTCCTAAATCCGAACCTGAGGATCGTGATAGTGACGCTCAACGTTCTTCTCCGCGACCTCTCGATGTAAAACGTGCTCGTGTTGAAAACATTGTGTCAACTATGCGTGCTAGTCCTGCGCCTCAACAGCCACAAGTGAACGGTTGCAAAAAACGAAAATTATATCACCCACAGCAACACGATGGTGCAGCGGAGCGCTATGGTACGAGTCACGGCGGTAGTGCACAGACAGTATCGGACGAATCCGAGGATGATGGTGAGCGACCACCTATTCAACAAAAATTAGTAGAAAAGAATGCTTTAAAATCACAACTTAGAACTATGCAAGAGCAACTTGCAGAGATGCAAGAGAAATATATGCAATTGTGCAATCGTATGGGACAAGAGTCAGAAACAATCGATAATGATGGTGCTTCTAGTGATGTAGAACAGAATGACGATCCTGTACCTAAGTCAGAACCAGCGTCGCCAGCAAAAGAGGTACCACCTCCTATACCAAATAATGCTACGCCTAACATGCTTTCACAAGTAATGAGTAAAATGATGTCAGCAAAAATGCACGTTCATGCAGCAGCACATCAGCACCTTCCACCTGGATTCAATGGTTCGTTACCTATGATACCTCCACTACCTCCAAGTGACCACATACATCCACCTCACCCACACCAGCACTTAAATAGTGCCGCAGCGATGTATCTCAATGTCAGCCAAAAACTATTTCTAGAACAACAAGAAGCCAGAATGAAAGAAGTCTCTGAGCATCAACATCAACAGAATAATCAACAACAGAGACCTCTATCGAACCAGCCTTCACCACAGCAGCGGCAACTTGGCCAAACGCCAAAGCCTCCGTTGTCTTCAGAACTGGCTGAAAGGCTCGACGCGATTAGAAATAGCACAGGTCCTGTGGGACCAGTTTCAGGCGCTGACCTCGAAGGATTAGCAGAAGTGCTAAAGAGTGAAGTCACAGCATATTTAGTCAGTCTCATCGACTCCATTGTAACGCGTTTTGTGCATCAGCGTCGAATAATTGGAAAACAGTCGGAGGCTGCAGCGGCGGCAGCGGAGCAACTCAACAAGGATCTGATGCGAGCAACGCGGCTACTGGAGATAAAGTCACCAACACCGAAGCCAGTGGAGCGGCCGTCGGGGCAATTATCAGGTAATACACCCGTCCATCATACGGGTGCGCCTAATGGCGTCCCGTTTATCACACATAATCCGATGCTGATAAGCCAGATGAACGGCCCCCGCGCGCCAGGTGGAGCGGCATTTCCGCTGCACACCGAGGCGAGCGGGCCCGGACATGGCACTCATGTGCGGCCTCCGACAGGCATGTTCCAGACGCCGCCAAAACCACTTGCGAACCTCTACGGGTCCATGAACGGGCACTTCGACCGTGAACCGAACCCTGAGCAGAACGAGGCACTCAGTCTCGTAGTCACACCGAAGAAAAAGCGGCATAAGGTGACGGATACTAGAATAACGCCGCGGACCGTAAGCAGGATTCTCGGAGAGGGCGTAGGGCACTCGCCTGAGAGTAAATTCCCGGAGTCACCGTCCCCGCGGCCGTACCCTGGTGGGATGGCGTTACCTACATCGGTGGCGATACCTAATCCTTCGCTGCATGAGAGCCAAGTTTTCTCACCGTATTCACCATTCTTCACGGCTGGGGGCGGGTTGGCGCGATCGCCACCGGCCCCGGAGCGTGACTCACCACCCCTGCCTCATGCGCCTGTGCTGTTACACCCGGCGCTAATGGCAGCAGCGCATCATGCGTCGCCCGACTACCTGAGACATCACCATGCTCATGTACCGCACCATGGTGGGGCTCCGCATCATCCACACCACATGGATACACAAGACCCTCACTCAGATAATAACTCCACAGACCTGCCTTACGACGGAGTTCAGCCTACTATATCCTTTTCAAATAGATGATAATTAAATTTACTTTGTTCCCTAGATTGAAAGTCAAGTGAACTCAACACAATAAACGAAATCCGAGCTAATACGAGTAGTAAATCCTCGGCCGCAAATGCCCACAGATATCTTATTTCTGTAGTGTTTAACCTTACGACTGTCACCGCCTATTTCCTACTTAGTAGTTAGGTGTTACGACTTTTGAAGCTCTACAAATGCTGCGGTCTCTATATTTTCCGCAATACTTTCCCATATTTCATAGCATTAGTCTTTTAAGGTCATAAGTTATTTACAGAAAGTAAAAAAAGAATTGCTAAATGTTTATTTGAAAAACTGCATTACAACTTTTCGGAACATGTTAAAATAAATTCAATTTACTTACAAATACAGTGCATATTACTTTAAATTATAAACAAAACGGTCTGGTTACCGATTTACTCATACGTAGAAATAACACACATGGATAAGGCACATTATAAGATTAGAAATGCAAACGGATTAAGTATTTGTGGTGCTTCATTGCCTACGATACGCCTACGACAGAATCTAGAGACGTATCTATTCTATAATCAGATATTACTCTACTTCATTCTAAGTATTCGCTTCTATTGAGTATTTGTTATTGTTATTGATAATGTTTAAATTTGAATTTAACAAAATTAGTAGTTTTGAACCACAATAACAAAAGTAAACGCTCAGATAAAAAAAAAAATATTTTTCAAATATTATAGACATCGTGTGAGTATAACAAGCATATATTTTATATATAATAAAAAATACTGTTAGAATATAAATCTATTAAATATAATTTTAATATTAATTCTGTCATTAAAAAATTGACAAACTAAAAAAAAAAAACCTAAAATTAAGACTTTATAATAACAGCTTAACAATTGTTATTTTCAATATACATTAGTCATAAACACTGTTTAAAATAATAGCATACCTAATCTCGTGTTTTGATTAATCCCAGTTTCCTGGATATGTATTCGTTAAAATTATCGTGTCCAACGATAAATAAATACGATATAAGTATAGTTTATTATACCGTCCTACGGTTATCTGGGGTTAATTTCGTTAACTGATTTATTTTTCGGGTTTGGTTCAATTAATTAATTAGTCGTCGCTACTAATTACTCTGTCGAAATACTTGATTAGATTAGCAGGCGAAATTGATTTTGTGATATCTACTAGTTTTTATAATGGGTTCACAAAATATTAATTTATAAAGTGCTATGAAGTTTTATTCATTTAAAGTAAATTTAATTAATTTAAAGTCAAATATGTTTTTGTTGAAGCTCGGATTTCGTTAGTTATATATTAATATGCCCTATAGTCCAATATAATTATTTCATATCTACATAAATCATGTCATAAATCAACAAGATTATTTTATTAATTTTATGAAAAAAAAAAAACAAATCAAAATCTAATAATTACATTTATGTATCTTAGTCGTAATTTATATCTGGTCAAAATTAAATTTAACCAAAATATAAAACTATAACCACATTTCCAGTCAAAACTAGTTTTTACCAAGAACTGATTCTTACTGTAACGTAATTTATACAAAGATTATTTGTTAATGCTTAATAGGTACACATGTTCTCAAAGTTTCTTTATTAACAGTAGTAAATAAGTCAATATTACAAAGATCAACCTTAACTCCTGTGCACTCCTCAACATTGACGCCGATGCATCTGCGCAAAGCGAAGCTCATGTTCTTCTGGGTCCGGTATCCAAGCTCCGCGGTCCTCAAGATGTACTTCCCAGACATCAAGTTCAACAAGAACAACACGGCCCAGCTTGTCAAGTGGTTCTCAAACTTCCGGTAAGTGCCCATTTCGTTTTTTCTTGTCTTTCTATCAATCTTACATGTCTGTCTTTAAGCGTTTAACATCAGACAAGCTGTAAGCTTATTTGCCGTCTTTGTGGCATAAAATAAAAATAAATAAAACAAATAATAACATACAAAAATGGTTTATTTGTATTTCGTTGTATTATAATAGATTTCTTTAGGTTCTAATTATATAGTTCCCGTATATCATTCCCATTGTAATTCTTGATGGATCCGATTTCATACTGTATTACATACTTAAATGAAAATTACTTATCTAATACCTTCGTGAAGTTTCAGCCAACTCAACTGATCGGTTATTTTATAGTATTTTATATGTTATTCTTTAAAATGATATTTTTTTTTAATTTATAAACCGATTAAAGTAAAACAAATACTAAACGGTAAGTGAAGTAAACCGTAATGTATTAATGAAAACCGCATTAAGAAGGTAAAGCCATTCAGACAGAAAAGATTTTTTCAAATCGGCTTATAAATAACGGAGTCACGCGATAACAATCATAAAAAATACAAACTCCTCCTTTTTTAAGTCTATTTAAAAATAAACTAAACATCACTGTTTTTTTATACATATAAGACTCAAAATTCCCTAGCAAAATCTAATGAAAAGCAAAACTTTCTTGGCGGTAATAATTCGCTTAAAGCGCTTAAATCGATTGATTAATAGCAATCCCATCTTATTCCCGTTAGTTCCTAATTTAATAATAAAGTAAAGGGTGAAATAGTGAATTCACTATTTCCTCATTAACGTAAAGGGTGGCAACCCTTAATTGTTGATTTGAAACGGATGCACGTCACAAACTTCTCCCATACATTATTTGTTTTAATATTTTTTTTATTGACTTGAAAAGAGAAGGGTTATCAATTTAATATGATTTTTTTATGTATTGTCAACCAACTTTAAAAAGGAGGAGTTGTATGCTTTTTTTTATATGTTTGTTACCTCGTAACATGACAGTTGTAAACCGATTTCGAAAATTCTTTTTTAAACTGAAAGGATATGTTTACAGATTAGTTCCATAGAAGTTTCATCAAAATTGGTTCAGTAGGTTAGTTTTCAAATCAAAATAATCAGTTTTGCTCCAATTGAAGTAGGTTTTTTTTATTATGGGACACAATTTTTAATTAGTTAATTTTCAGAACAAAATATACCCCTTAGAAATATATACCTTATAACGCAAAATTACCATCATAATGATGAGGAAAGTGTGAAAAAATATGTTTTCTGTATATATATATATATATATATATATATATACAGAAAACATATTATATAATAATAATTTATTACCTTTTGAAAATTTGGTTATCTTACTCGAATACGAGTTAATTTTACATTGTTTTGCGGTGTTTCCATGCCTTATTTAAATAAATTAAGCTTGTAATAAATGGATTAATTAAATAATGGAGTAATAATGTTGTTTATTATTAATAATAGTTTAGTAATAATAAGTAAATTTAATTATGTTTCACTAGAAATTGACGAAAAATTTATTTTTCTAAATATTTCATTGAAAATTTGGGAGAAATTTAAATGAAAGATAATCTCCATCAGGCCCGGATAGTCTCGTAGATCGTATTTATCAAGATAGAGAATCGAGTGTCAAAAACTGTTGGCTGAAGCGTCATTTTTTTAATTTTTTTTTTTCTTACTTTTAATAATTTGAATTTATAATATAGGATAATAAATATGAAAGATTGCGGCTGTGGATATTTCTTACTCTTTCACGCAAAAACTACTAAATGGATTTGAATGAAATTTGGTACAAGAGTAGATTATATCCTAGATAACTTAGTACATAGCACTTAGCACTTCACATATTAATTCACGTGGGTAAAGGCGCGGGATTCGGCTAGGTGGTTTAATTTTATAACATTGTCTCACTTTCCAATAGAAAAGTGTCCGAACCTCATACATTTGTATTAATTAATATATCTGTTTCTAATATGGGTTATTTCTTGTGTTTTCTATGTGTATGTATTTAAAAAAGAAAGTATTTAAGTATATTAACAATTCTTCAATATTCACAGTACAAACTCTACATAGTTTGGAACTAAATGGCAATATATATCTGGTAATATTTATTAATATATTTACATAAAAAAACGATGATTTTTGTTTAATAATTATCAATAAGAATATTAATGTCTCTATTCCATGCCGTATCTATGATCTCCCTACGACACCCAGTGTTTCCTTTATCTGTCCCATGTAGTTATTTCTCGGTATTCATCTTCCTCTTTTTCTATAAATTTATATTTTTAAAACAGCTTTTTATAAAAAAAAAAATTTTGTCCAAGCGTTTTTAGAAATATGCGCTAATCTAAATGTATGTACTCTAATAAAATAGAATAGAATAGAAATAATATTTGTTCGAGTAAACTTAATTTTAAATAATAATACATTATAAAATTGTATTTTGAATTGAAAGATAATTCAATCAAGTAGATGTGCAATTTCAGCAATGAATGGGCAAGAATCAATGCGATAACAGTTGCTTTAATGGAATTTTACTCTAATATCTAGAATTTTACACATTTATGTATTCATATGACATATAAAATTATTAAATAATACTTTTTATTCATTATCTATTGATCTAAATACCTTTTAGGAATACAAATCTTATAAGATTTCAAAATTAAATTTCTCAACAACCGATAATAAAAAAAAAATCTATAACGCTTTTGTCAACAATTTCTAAAATTACAAATTTGCAAACTACTATTTTTCCAACAAATGTAACCGTCAACGAGATTTCTGCTAAAAACTCTTCTTTAGCACCGCAAAAGGACACACAGATACACGCAAAAATCGTGTTTTCCCCTTAATTTTTCAAAGCTTCTTTACTGTCTTTAATTTTCGTAGTTGTTCATAGAATACGTAACTAAAAAGGGGAAATTTATGGGAAATGTATACTTAGACCTGACGGAATTGCTGTTGCAGATTGTTTTAAATTATATAAGAAAATCGTAAATTACAGTCAATTGGAAGGGCTGGCCTTTAATTTGCTGTCGTAAAATAGTCTATAACAAACATCGATAAGGGAAAATTATAGAAAAACGCTTAGGGCATTCATGAACATGAATACAAACACAGAATACCTAATAGTACTACAAAGATGGAAATTGGCAGTTATTAGGATAATAAAAGGATATTTTCTTATAAATAAAATTCTTAATAACCTTCCTGAGATTTGTGTACAGTAATCATTCCCTTACAGTCACAGTAAATAAACATAACCATAGACTATGTATCAGCTCAGTTAAATTGTTGCTGTAATTGCCATACTTAAATTGCTTTATTATACTTTGATATTAAATATACATATTAAATACCGACAGTATTTATAACAAATAAAATATAGTTTATCAAAACTATAATTTTTTATCGTAAAAAATTACATCTACATCTGAGCGTTCAATGTAAAATTACCCAGAAACCTTGAAAAAACCAATCGGTTATCAGTTAAAGTAAGTCTGAAAATATTGCATTTTTAATAATAAATAAAAAGATTATTAAAGATGAATTCTGTTATAAAGAAAGATCATTAATACAATTTCGAATATTATCAATATTATTAAAAAAAAAGCAGTACATTTTTATAGAAAATATACTTAGGCTATTTCAACCAATGCGCTGTGAAATACTCCATTGCCATGTAACTAAATATCAAAAGGTTATATATCATCACAGTGCAACAAAGAGAAAATAATTAAAAAAACTTGTTATATTATTTATATGGAAAAATCCCTCACGAGTATTGATTTCTACTCGACTAATTTTTCGCTATCTAAGTCCGCGATAAGACCTGCCATAAGCCGCGCACTTCTATGATAAAAGTCCCCCTTCCTTAGGTACTCACTATTGATCACATATTTCCTAATCAACACCTGATAATTTGACTCCCTTTCCCCACACTATGGAAATGTAAATGAAATAGAAATGAAAATATAAAATAACTTTTTAATACCTATTTTTTTCAAATCTTTTTTACTTTTTGTGGCGAGGATTAAACAAAAAATTTTAAACATATATTTTTTATTAAACCTACCTTAAAAATATTTATATAAAATTAACCAATTTTGAAGCTGCGATGGATAGATTTCTATTTTAATAGATAATAATGGAGTACCACTTCGCAGGGCTCACCAGACACAATGTAGACCAAAAATATGTATTTGAATTTAGAAAATGAAAACGCATACAAAGTAGATTTTTCTTTGCAACCAGTAGTTTTTTGTTCCGCAAAGAAAACAAAATTATCTAAAATCTATTCAAATTAGCAACCGAACATTTTCACAAAATATATAAATATTTTTTTAATAATTATTATATAGCAGATTTCCAATATTTCGGTATCAGACTACCTGAATGGTATCAGACGTCAAAGCTCACGTCAATGTATACTTAACACATCAGAACCGTGTTATATAAAATTTCATATTATATTGAAGCTTTTTGTCGCTATCTCAAGCTTGTATCATATCTAAGTTAGATAAACTAGGACTTGGTAAAAGCTTTGATAACACTGTTTGCGTACGATGTTGGTTAAGTACTTAATATATAATACCTATTGTATGTTTTCTGGGTATTATCTTAAAAATGTTAAATAAAAATAGATAAAAATATATTAAAAGTAATGTTGTATAATGAAACGATATAACATAGAATTTTAAATAATAGTCAATTAATTACTTATTACTAGCTATAACTCTCGGTTATGTCTGAATTAGAGATAAGTCATCCTATTTTTAGGATATACATAATAGGATTTAGAATGTGATCCATCTGTACATCAAATCAGATATCAACTTAGGAATAAACACCCAAACAGCAGTACAAATTTCATTAAAAGAATAAAAATTAAATTAATAATAAACTTTTCGAATTTTTAGTCATATTATTTTGTACTGTTTCTGTTTTCTTTTTATTTATTTATTTATTATATTTAATACTTGATTGTAAACAC